AAATAAAGTAATAATACGCTTTGCGAGAGTTGATGGTAGCACTATTTAAATTTGACTTTATCTATCGTGAATAAAGTTCAGATCAGATGTGACAGCTGTACATCAGCTGTGACGTCAACAACATCTAGGGATGTCCTGGCACTTGTGGTACTTATTTGACAACTCCAGTATTTGAATATAATATTCGCCGTGTCAGTCTATTGTGACAATTGTTTTTAGGAAACACCTATAAAAATCAAAATTTGCACACACGCACATTCGTGAATGTGAATATTTTGTGAATTCTTTTTTTGGATTGCTTATATCATACTTATGCGACATCCTGCATTGATTAAAAATCCTCCCACACGCTAGGGTAAATCAAATTCAACCTAATGTGATGTTTAAACTTTCAGCTTTGCATTCAATAAAGTTCAACTTATGTAAAAAGTTTATAAGGATGAAAGTAGTTATTACAATCAGTATGCAAAACGAATATATTCGCATTACAAATTTGAATATATAGCTGCAATCTATTGATGTAAGATGCAATAAAAATATTTACTTGTCATTGTCCTCCGTCTTTCACGATTACAGGCATCGGTTCTTTCAAAAAATGCATGCATCATAAATTGATTGAATCGGGGAGTACCACGTCCCCGTATTAAAAACCATATATATTTGTCGTACTTCGTTTCAACGATACTTTTAGAAAATATAATTGCGAGCTGAAACAATCTAAACTGATGTTTTATAAAATTGCTGTGATTGAATGATAAGACAGGCCTTGATAATAATGTTGCTTATTTTTGTAGCATACATATGAAGTGGTTTTATAAATAAAATAAAGAAACCGTATTATCTACCATACGGCATCAAATACCCTTAACCATGGAATTTATCTTCAATATAGGGGTTTATAGGGTTTTAAGGGGTTTATATAAACAGGTTAAAATTGCTAAATCTAGAGGACAAAATTGGCGTTTCGTGTAAGATAGGATCTATAAATGACTTTAAATCTAAGCACAAATAGAATCAAATTTTCCAACCATTCAGTCCATAGTATAGAAAGAATTGAAAAACATTTCAAGATTTATAAAAGGCAGATTTAAATGAATTCAAACCTTAGGCCAATCTTCATGTTTCAATATAGATATGATATGGTTCGAGAAATGACACCAATTCTAAGATTGGATTTTTCTAAACGTTCCGTGCTATTTTGGTAGAATTCAGAGATATGTAAAAAAAATTACGGTTTTTTGTTTTATATGAATATTACCAAATTCTTAGTCCAGCACGAGAACCAACTAATTTTCTTTACCTAGTCTTCAAATTTTAACAAATTTTAAAAAAATATTTTCTTAAAAAATATGAAATTCAAAAAATTAAAAAGAATATTCAATCTAATAAGAATCAGATAAAAATTAAGAATCGAATTATGCAATTATCCGCACTGAGTAAATTATATAGTTTATATTTAGGGTGATAAAGAACCAAAATAATTCATTTTCTTTTTACGTTTAAAAAATAAATCATGGCTTCGATAACTTCCTGCGATTATATAACGGCTATTTTCGCTTCAGTTGCTTTTGCTTTATGCTGGTATATTTTCAAAAAACCGAAAAACTTTTCGCCAGGTCCACACGGACTTCCTTTAGTTGGTTACGCTCCGTTTTTAAACAACAACATGGCAGATGATTTTATAAAAATGAAGAGAAAATACGACTCCGTTATATTTGTGCGAATAGACAAAGAGATTGGTTGATTTTAAATAATTACGACACAATTTATGAGGTGAGAATACCCCCGATAAATGGAACCATTACAATTATTTTTCTCCAAATCATTTCACGTGATTTTCTTTGCTAGAAGCAAACAAAACTCTTATTCAACTAAATTAGACGGCGATCAGTGAAATGAAAAAAGCTATGAAAGTCATATTTATACATATATATCAATAACAGTGGCTAAAAAATATCGATTGAATTACAAAGTTAAAACAGATAAAAGTAATACGATTTGGGAAAGAGTATAATACCCACCATAAATCATACATTCTCGTTACTTTGGTACTCATTCTTGTTAGACATTTCATGCAAATTGAATTGCTCATAAATATTCTTCGGTAAAGCCCTAGTGAAAAAAACTTATCATTAATTAAGGCATTCGTGAAGCAAGGCCGAAAGATTTCTGGTCGTCCCAACAACTTTTTATTCGACTTGCTCACACAAGACTGCGGTATCATATTTACCGACTATGGTCAGTTATGGAAATCTTCTTGAAGATTTGGATCGAGAGCACTGAAAGGGTGAATAATATTTTGTGTTCAACATAGATATATTTCAGGATCAGCTGCTTGCCTAAAATATAAGTTTTCGTATAACTGTGAGTCCTTCTATGATAAAAAATAATTTCACGTGGACAGGGAAATTTCACTTATGTCTTTCGAAATTAAAATTATAAAATTATCAAACTAATTATAATTACCTGTGAAATATAATTATGACGTGTTGTATAGGATATTTATATATGTAAAAAAGCAAACGCAATTTTCGTATGGATTCAATTTGCATATATTATATAACTTGATATTTATGACAGAAAGCAAACGTGTCGTGAGGTTGAAAAGTTCGGGAATCTCAGAGTTAATCTGACCTTTTCTAATCTAAGTGAAACGTGTAAACTTGGCTTGGCATAATTTGGCTATATTTGTATTGATCTGCGTATTGAAACATGATTTATAAAGGTTTGCTATATTTTGCTGTCAGACCAAAGACAACTCGAACACATATTTTTAAAAACCAGTCAATTTCTAACTTCTTATATTTTAAATGTCTTCAAATTTTACAATACGTTCCGTCATTTTCTATACGGTTTATAGATTTGGCGCTTGTAAAAAAGAGATTGAAATAAATATAAATGAAGAAATTTCCTTTTTGATTGAAAGTCTGACGAGGAAAGAGGACAGGAGCAGTTTGCATGTATGAATGAGACGTTTTTATAGTTGGTTTTGTTATTTAATCGGATCTAAGGTTTCGACTTCAAAGATTGAGATTCTTGACGGTGATCTTTATTTTGGTGTTTAAAAATATTTCCATAAAATTTTAAAAGAAATCTTATAGTCTTGGGGATATTGGGCAGCATTACCACACAATTACTGACATTGGAATAGGGAAGTTAAAATACAATTACTTGATACTAAATCGCTATATTTCTGCTCAAATAAGTATTTCCTTAGTGTTTATTTTCTAAATTTTTGTGAAATTTTTGGCAATACATCATCTTAGACGTTTTGTTCAATACACAGTTGAAACTAACATCGGCAACATCGAATATCATCTGTCGATTGGTGTTTGGTTTGATGATAATACCAAGAGAGTTCTGCGTAAGACTGAGCTGTTACATGATTTGTATAGGTTTGATACCTTATTCATTGCGTAATAATCAAATTGCTGAACAACAAGTGTACCTACAGATTGTTACAGAATGTTTTTTGTAATTATATTACTCCGTATAGCTTGTGATATTAGCATTTAAGTAATAAAACAAGTTAACAACTTTTGAATATATGTGCACGAGGGACAATTAATTAACGTGTACAGCATTGTAACAAATGTCTTATGCAGGTGAATTAGGAATTCCGACAAATATAGCGTGAAATATCGGTACCCCTAGGACTCGGAGAATATATCAAAAATAGGTGCGATCACGTCTCACGTTGATCCTTACCACTTCACTCTCTTTGAGTACTAAAAATTGAATTTATCTGTCTATTTGTTGCGTACAAAATTCAAGATCACACTCAGAACGAAAATCCCCAAAAATAACCCCAAAAAAAATTAGCGTACTGTTCAAAGGTGCGAGACATGATCAATAACTATCGGCATTTGTATTACAGTTGTAAAAGTAATATTTGCGCTCAGGTCTGGCTAAATATCTGGTCTATTGAACTCTGTTCACTTCGATCCAAAATATTTTGAAAATCTGAGAGAATTTCGACCTGAGAGATTCCTCGACCGTGACGGAATATTCTTAAAATCAAATCACGTGATCCCATTCTCCGTTGGACCTCGACACTGCCTGGGCGAACAGTTGGTCAGGATGAAAGTTTTTATCTTCTTGACTGGAATTATACAGAAACTGAGAGTTGTACCTAACCCAGACAAACTCGTGCCTCCTTTCGACGTCGGTGGATTTAATGTTTTAACATACCAGGCCCCAGACTTTGATGTGGTTTTTGAGAAACGTTCAATTTTACCGTTTTCATTTAAGAAAAACTTGAAAAAAAAAACTTAAAACAATAATACATGATATACCAGTGGGAAGCGGTTTAGTATCGTATGCAACAAATTAGTTTCAACACTAAGTCTAAACTACTTAGTTGTGAGCAGTGATAGGTCAACTCTTAATCATGATTACAACGGCTTTAGGTCGGGTTTTCCGATTTTTAAAATTCCAAATTTAGAAATTTTGTAATGTATAAATAAATTTCAATCCGTCGTATTGACAACTTTGAATATCATTAAATTTCGTTGTTTAAACTAACTCGAAAGAGAAACTTTGCATTTGAACTTTACATCGATATTACTTATTGCTTCCGGGCAATGCGGTTTTGCCGATAAAATTACTGAGCACAAAATAAACAATGACTTTATAATTCTCTTTTATAAATTTAGCAATTTATTTGGCAAATCCAAAGTAATTCACGTTAATCTCCCTAATTAAGACCTTACCTTTTTTTTGGTATGTTTTATCATAATATTTTAAACCTAATACTGACAAATATATCACTAAGAATATTTTAAAATAGGGTAATCGAAAATGCCAACGAATACATTTAATAAAAATCCAATTACGTCGAAAAGCGAGTAAAATTATGAAAATTGTTAGAATACGAAACAAATTTGAGGATTAACAAAGAGGCACAAATATAAACCTTTTCGCTCGGATGTAGTAATGAGTCAGTTAGCACGTTCAATTTGTTTTGTTATTAATTCTTGCGTCACAAATAAACGAAAAACACATGATTTAATATTAGCATAAATGAGTTGAACTTTATTTAGCTGAGCAAGCATAGCTTAAGACAGACGAAACTGTACAAAAATAATATTTGTCAGCCCGAAGCAAGAATCTGTAAATAAGTCGAAGAAAATACTTTATGTAAATAAATCTTAATTTAAAGTGTAATATATAAGCCCGTTTCCCGGAATTGAAGTTGCATTCGAATTCCCGTGATTCGTTCATTACGTCTGATTGGCATATAATTTTAACGATATTTGAGAACAGTTGAATTACGTCAAAAAGATTGATTTTGAGTACGCTTTCACGTAAAGGAACAAATCGATTAGTAATATGTTTGACAGGTAAGAGCTGGTACCTGATAATGCTAATTAATACCAATATTCTTCCGCAATTTAGGAATGAATCGAAAAAAGAAAATATACCTCTATAACTGAATGATATGCAACAACAGAGAATTAATTTTATTTATTTTTTCTCAGAATGACCAAATTTATCGTGTTAATATTTGAACTAAAATTGCAACTTAACATTATTAGAATTTTAATCGGAGTGTATTATTTCGTTACTCCTTTGTTAGGTCTGTTTTTGTCGGAATTTCATAGAGTAACCACATCTCACTATAACGAATTAAGAACTTTACTTCTATCAACTACAACGTTTTGGACGTAATCATACTTTGTTTTTGATTTTCCGCGACCGTTTTTATACTTTCACGCTGATGAATGCCCCCGGAGATTAAATAATTTCTGTTAGATAATTAGATACTGTTTTGTAGCACATATAACGTTTTAGTTTTAGCATATACTATCAATTTAATGGGGATAAAAACGAGGTTGACCATTGACCCCCTCCACAATCTCAGTACAGTTCAAAATATGTATTCCAATGTTACCACTTATATGCAAATGATCTTACAGGGAATGGTCAATTTTCGTTTTCCTTCTATGTTTGAAAATTATCATTGCATCGGAAGAAGGCTCAGGTGGGAACATTTTACCCATTTTTCTTTTTCCTCTAATTTTCGTGATAAAATATTACCAAATATGATACCTCAAATTTGAATATTGACTTCTCGGTTACCTTCGTGGGCATCTGCTCTACGAACATTAGTTTATTCACTTCAAATAAGGCTTTTTAAAAACGATCACTCAAAATTATATGACTATGGATCTATCTTTAAAAATTTTCCAGTCAGCGTACGCCTGACGAGAAGTATTTAAATTGTTTAATGAATGCATACCGCCAAATTAGGGAGTATCTCACAGAATCCACTCTTGTATATCACGTGATAAAATTTTCAATAAGGCACATTCATGTTACATGTTATAAGCCTCGTTCAAAGTTTTCGCAACAGTCTCGAATTTCCGTCCTGAGCATTTGTCTGGTGCATACTAATATATTTGTACCACTGCATAATTTAATCAAATAATCAAATGATCATTCCAGGTTTTACCAAATCCCGTTTTACTTTAGCGTGAGGTCTGCCGCACTTTAGCGTGAAATCTACCTCGCGTTAGCACTTTAGAGTGAGGACTACCGCTGTATTAGTCATCCCTCATGAACATCAAACATTTTCATACATTTATTTTAGTGTCAAACACTTTATTTGTTGCACCTGGGCAGGCTACATATGGCGGTAGACTTCACGCTAAAGTAGCATCGAGTTTCTTTTGTGTCTTGTTTTTCGTAATTTTTGTACTATGGAGTTCAAATTGAATTATCTATCTTATCTACTTTAACCCGTGGTCACGTTTTTCGCCATGCAAATATAGATGAGACAAAAAGTTTATCACTCAACAAATCTCAAATTTTCAGTCATTTTAAATTGTTGACTTTATAACTTTATTTTAGAGCAATGTTCGGACAAACCAAAAGTTTGTGAATCATATGCAATGATTGATAAGGATTTTTGCGATGACAAAAATTTGGAAAAATTTGTCCGTGAAAATTGTCAGAAGTACTGCAACAAATGTACTAAAGGTACTTTTATAATCATATTCGTTTTTCACATGTTTGAAAATGTAACAACAAATTTCATGGACTAGTATGAGTTTTGCATGTAAGAAGTATGAAAATATGCACGTGATTACATGTATACGTAATCTTTAGTTGCACGTTGAACATAATCTAATTTTTGTCGACTTTACAATATCAAACTGTATGTTTCGTTATAATTTCTGTCTGAAATATACAGTGATAAGTTAGTGAAAATATTGGCATTATCGCCCCCTTTCATGGTGATAAAAGATGAATGTTTATTGGTACCTTCATATATTGCACGCTTCGAATATATTGTATAAAATTTAACTGCAATTAACTATTCACTATCACTAACTATTAACGATCAACCACACAATTAAATTAATAATTCACATTTTTATATTAAATATATAATGTATCTTTTTATCTAACAGAGAATATTCCAAAAGTTGAATGCAAAAAGAATGAATTACGAAGATATAAAGATTTGGGTTGCTGCAACGCAATTTCTGGTAAGTCGGTAGTACATTTCAATGCTTCTGGGAAACTGATTCAGTATCAGCGTAATGTAATGGTCATATATGCGTGTAGCATTGTTAGCCATTCCACTCTCTCTCTCGAACTTTCGATGTCGATCAACAAATATAGAGAAAATAGCCATGTCGAGTTAGCCCTAGGCTAACTAATAAAAGTACATGTTGCACGCATTGCAAGCGGACATTTCGTTAGAGATTAAATAACAAATGCAGATAGAGTGTGTATGCGTAGTGAGGGAGAAATGGAGAGCTTATAAGTAGGACGAGGGAGGTATGCATTCAGAAAGGCTGAAAAACACTATTATAGACAATAATATTTAGAAACTCAGCTATTTATATGATTACTTTCTTCCATTGACTGAATTATAATGATTTGATTCCCTTCAATCGAGTATATTAATTTTAGGGTTCGAGTTAACTCGGTTCGAGTTAGACTGGGCTCATCATTACCAATGATAAAGTCAGTTCAAGTGGATGTATGAATTATATCCTTAGATATCCGTTAGATATTTTAATAAACGTCTATAGAGATAATTCTGCTCAATTGAGTTTGCGACCGAGCAAGTAGTATCATATTTTTCCATACGAGGTTGGGAAGGTTTAACTTTTCCTTTTTCGGAATATGGAGAGCCCATACCCTGCAAATGAAATTCAAGAACCACAGAGTTTTACTTATCAAATTTAATATCAAATGTTATCATTTCAGGTGAACAACAATGCGGGCGTGATTCCTGGTCTCAGTCGCGAGGTGTACCAGTGAACAGACCTTGGCCGTGGCAGGTTTGCTTTCGTTTATACTTTTCGCGAAGTTAAAATGAATAAATCGAATTTGTTGAGCTATGTTGTTTCAACTAGTTTTACGTACTACAGTGATTTTGGTATATGATGTCGCATTCGTCTAGGAGAATAATTTTGTCTCTAGGGCTTTTAATTGAACACCACTTTTATTTGACTTTATTGATTCTAGCCATATGCGAAACCAAGCCTCAGATGTGCATACCACGATCGATTTATTCAAAATTTAACTGTGACTGCCGCTCTTCAGTTCGCAATAAATATGGAAACTTGAAATCAGACCCCAAATTCTAATTAACCCTGATCAGGATACACAGAAATATTATATGTGTAATGCTTTGCAGGTTATATTTTTGGTGGATCCTAATACGTTTTGCGCAGGTGCACTGTTAACTAAAAATTGGATCATAACAGCTGGAGAATGTTACAAGTAAGAAAATAAATAACTAGTTGAGAAAGGTTTTAGCATATTCAATCTGTTTCTATAAAGCGCGATAGAAATTATGAGAAAGTTATATCAAAAATATAAAAAATTTTAACTGTCATCTGTCACTTAAATACGTGATTTTTTACGCTGGGCTTCAAGTATTAGACTAACAATTGAAAAAGTTTTGATATTTTCTTGCCATGAAATTAAAAAAAAAATTTATTTCAATCTGACGAAACAAAATTTATAACAATTGGCATAGTTTTTGATGCATTGATAAAATATAATACGAGGGTGATATTATTTGGAAAATAACTTGAAACATATTGCATGGTTCAATATTTTACTTTCCATCACTTGCATGATATAAAAATCAGAATTTACTTTCTGTAATATTGATTTGTAAATTGGTAAAATATCTTCTCTATTTTAGAGGCTATACTAATGAAAGCGGGGTCACTGTATTTGCTGGACCTCGCCATTTCGATAATATAAATCCAGGTACCGCGCAAATAAGACCAGGAAAAAGGGTGAGCTATTTATTACTAGAATACGTGGAATAGAAGCCTTTAATTAATGAAGTAATGTTCTTTAGCGTGGTGCCTTTTTTGTGAAAGTATTTTGCAGTTTTTGTGGTAACAAGCAATATGGAATGTTATAAGTTGAGAAAACGCAAAATCTCAATGTACCATCTATTTCAATGTATTATTCATTCAATTATAGTTAGACAAATATGAGCGGTATTTCCGAAGTATGTGAACCAATATGGCGGACACCGGAACGTAGTATGTGTACCAGGTTAGGGTTAGGCAATAATTTCATTCCAATTTTCCTTATTTTAGTTCTATTACGAGTTCGGGCTAAGTGACTCCCGTAATATTTGTACCTGAAATTATGGCCCGACCTTAACCTGGTACACATATTGCGTTCTTTTGTCCGCCATCCTGTTTCCCATACTCTAGGAGTATCGTATAAGCTTCATAATTCACTCGGACTGAAAAGAAAAAACTGGTGAAATATAGATTTCAATGAAATGTGTTCCCACTTTTACCATGTACAAAGCCTGGCAACTAAACATAGAATCCATATTTGATATGTATAAACTTGCAAAAGTAGCATCAATTTTTATATGAGTAATAGGCTTATCTAATTTGTAATGTACATTTGTCTGACTATAATATAATACTTTATTGTTTAGCACATACTATCTGATGGAACATATTCAAAGAGTATTACAAATATGCTTGCCCTGACACATATAAACTCAGTTGAGATTGAAAAACATAGAGTGCCTGTTTTCCCAATCTGTCTTCCAAATGGAGAAAAACCAGAAACCGGAATGAAGTGTTTTTTCACGGGATGGGGAGTGGGTGAGTAGAGTTTAAAACTTTATACAGACTTACTAATGATGAAAAAACAAAATTTTAAAAGAGCCACAAAATGATCATTATTAATAGTCACTACCGAATCGTAAGCAGCAGAGTTTGCCACTTTTTGACAAGCCTTCTGCGTTTTTGCTTCTAAAACGAAGTATTGGTTTTTTATCTCCTTTTCTTACCTGAACTAATATAAACGGTCGAGGTTGTATCGGATTCCATATGTATACATAAATATAAAATAATATCAATATCAATCATTCTCTCATGAGAAACTACTTTTTTGAGAATTTTAATTACGGATTCGTGTGCTGAATATTGCATTTTGAAAGTGTCACTCGATAGCCATAACCTGCTTACGATGGCTGTTTCAACAATACCAGTATATATAATTCTTCATATGCTCGTATTACCTTTTGAGTTTCACTTGTGGGGGAGGGGGAGGGGAGTAAAATATTCTAGAAGTAATTCTATTACTTGCGTGCAAAGACGGAATTTGGAAATGAACTGAAAAAGTCGTGGTGAATTTCAATACGGTTTTAACTGTTTCAACACCTGCTGTCCAATTTTAGGTTCGGAATCGTCAATTTTGAAAGAGGTTGACCTGACGATAATGAATCAACAAAACTGTATTACTGCATTTGGAGATGATTTTGCATTCAATCAAACAAATATGTTATGTGGATCTACAAATCAGAACATCTCCGATGCCTGCAAAGGTAAGATTGGCCGTTGGAGATCTAGATAATTACAAACATTCTGTATCATGAGAATAAAATCTTTGCTACTCAGCAATTATACAATACAACCCTGCAAAACTTGGGATTTTATCAATATACAACAGGTTTTTGCTGTTAAGGTAAATGTTGTTGTCGGAATATTTCTTTTATCCAAAAATCGATTGGAATTTTCAGTGATTGAAGATGGTTGGAGCGGCTTTAGGGCAATTAATTTCATATTTCATTTTCCGAATCGATTGGTCATGATATTCCACCTCAAATTTAGCTATTGTACAGTTAAATCATATTGAAATAATTTATTCAGTCATACTTGTCTAACAATATTTTAGCAACCTGTGTGCTCAACTAAGATCTTACCTATTCCGGCAAGAACGTTTCGTGTTTATATATTTGAGAATGATTTTGATACTTGTGAATGCTTTTTCTCAATAATTCTGTCAAATATTATATTTTCATTTACTATCCCAAACATAATCAAGTATTCACTTTAAACTGTAAAACATTTCCTATGACACCTTTTGTTGTATAGTCAATACAGGTGGACCCCTGGTTTGTCAGCGTTGTGACATATGTCAGTGGTATTTGGCTGGAATCCATATATACAAAAGCGGATGCTTTGAAAATCAATACTATGCTGCTTTCGCTGATATTCAATATTTTGAAGATTGGATTTCCGAGTCAATATCTACTTCGCTGAACAAAACCGGTTCTTGTGTAAAACCTTGTAAGTTACTTTACTTTAAAGCGTACGCACATTTCTTGGACTCTTTTAATCGCCGTCTCCTCATTGGGCTCCATTCCACCATAAAGTTTTGAAATCCACCGATTTAGAGCAGGGGTGTGCAACCTTTAGTACAGGAGGCCAAAACACAAATAACTGGATAAAACCGCGGTCCGCACATTTATTTAACGTATGCTTTCTAGTAGTTGCAGGCACGAAAATTTTGGTAATCGTTCTTATAACATCCGTTGTTCGCTTCCCACAAGCTGGCTGTTGGGGCATTGTAACGATATATGCATATATAATAAAGTGAACTCAGTTATAGGCTTTAAAAGACAAGAGAATTTAAATTACTCCCACGTACCAGATTAAACTCGCAGGCCGCCCATCATTTAAATTTGGCACTTCTTAGCGGGCTGCACAATTATTCCTTCTGCGCCGCATTTGACCCGTGAGCCGCAGGTTGCGCACTCATGATTTAGAGATAGACTATTGATGCTAACTGTTCACAGTAAAAATTACAACCTAGTTAATAGTATAATTAGTTGATTAATACTGAAAATTAATCTATAACTACTTCTTGTTCATCTTTCAGTTTTAGGTAAATTTAGCGAATGGTCCGAATGCTCAGTATCATGTGGGGGTGGAGTAAGGTTCAGAGAAAGGAAATGTATTAATGGAAGGATAGGACAGGAGGAGTGTCCAACAGATCAATCTGTTGAACTAGGGGTATGTATATGCTAAAGCTGTTTCTAACAATTAGTGATGAACAAAATGAACGACCGATATCGAAAGCCTTTTCTATATAGAGACTGAATCAGAAGATTTCAACTAATAATTATATGTGCGAATCTGTAACATTTATAGTAGTTGAGAGTAAATGCAGGTTCCGCCCAAACTTCGTCAATTTGTGATGCTAAACTTAGGACAAAGATGTAATTTTGTTGGTAGTACAGCCCTTTTTTCTGTTGATAACGGATTATGCGGAGTGGTGGATTTAAAATTCTAAGAACGGGTTCTTATTTGCATCGAACTCTCTACAGAATCTCTCATTTAAGAAAATAAATATTCTACAATAACATACCAAGCTTTACATAAATTAATGTTATAACTTTTGAAATGACAAATATAACGCTCTCTGTCCGGTGCAGTGGGCTTATAAGTAAACCATTCCCCTGCGGTTGTCTAACTAATTAAACAAAACAACACGGGATCGCGGAATTGCACGACATTCTAAGAACCGAATAGGGGATGGGCAAATTACAGCTCGCGATGGACATGCATTGAGATAATAAATCAATTACATTATATTGTCAGAATATTGAGTGAATGCATCCATAAGTAATGCAACTTCGTAATCCATTATTTGACAAGAAAGCAATGCTGATGAACTAGCTGTTGTAGATAAACTGTTTTTATTCATAAATTTTCCTCTTAAGTTTTGAGCTTCCGCCCCAACACCCAAGTATATTATCTGTAATTGGCCCACTCAAAGTATTTATCCACTTTTTAACCAACCACTCTGATCATTACCCAGAAATGCAATGTAAATCGTAGTTGTGCTTTTTTCACCGATTGGTCACCCTGGGGAGAGTGTAGCCAAACATGTGGGAAAGGAGAACAAAAATCAGCAAGAACATGTAAGCATGGAGAAGTCGGTGACAATGGATGTATTGGAGAAACAGAAAGAACGCAAGAATGTGTTGAGGCGGAGTGCGCAGGTATTTATTTGATTAAGTATATAGTTAAGTTAAATAACTTTAAACGTTTAAAAATTCCATTTGTTCATATCGATATACCAAGCTGTTATTATAGGCTCTATGCTGTGAAGACTATCATTGCGAGTATTGCACGTTACGCACAGTTTTGTTGCTTTGGTGATAAGAGCTACAGATATGGCATTTTGGTGCTACTGTACGCCACATGTAGCCTAACCTGAGGTCTATCGCGGAATAATAATACAACGGTAGACCTCATGCTAAAGTGCTAACGGGAGGTACATCTCAGGTTAAAGTGCAATGAACCACACGCTAAAAATAGCAACGAAATTTTGATGAACTTGCTAAATCGTTGCTGTTGTTCATGTTGTTGTTGTTGTTGTAGTTAAACACCTGCCAATCAATTTCAACAGCAAGCGGGGCGCAACCTCTTTTATTATTTTCTATTTATCAGTTGTTTATATAAAATTGCAGGTTGGGGTGAATTCAACGAATGGACTAAATGCTCGCAAACATGCGGACATGGATCGCGTATTAGAGCTAGGAAATGTATAAATGGAAAGATTGGTCAGGACGGCTGTCCACCCCGACAAGCTGTTGAACTTGAAGTAGGTATTAATAACATAAGACAATATCCAATGATTTAATAAACGAGAATATCGGTCGGAGACCTAAGACTTAAGGATCGAAGGTTAGGGGATCCACCAAAAGAGCTCTTACTCCATAGTGACACCGTGTGTCCCATCACTAATTAATTATTAACTCGCTAATTATACGAAATAATTTATCGAACCTCTGAACCGAGCTATGATAAATGCACATGTAAAATTTGGAGCAGATTCAACCTCGCTTTCGTGAGATATCGTGTGTATCTAACAGACAGACAAACAAACAAACAAACAAACAAACAAACAGACAGACAAATACATTGATACTTATCGATCTTAAGGTCGATAAGTAATAACTCAGCTTCAACATCCAGCAATTTTGCTCAAGTTATCGTGAATGCATTTATTTTTCTATCCATGACTGCAAATTTATCATTCATCAGTTCACAACCATACTATAACCGATTAAATAAAATAAAGCTGATATTTATTTAAATAATTTTCTGAAATTGTCATCCGTATTACAGAGTTGCTTTGAACCAAAATGTCCTACATTTACTGAATGGTCACTCTGGGGAAAATGTAGCCGAACATGCGGGGGAGGAGAGCAAATATCAACACGAACATGTAAGCATGGAAAAATCGGCGAAAACGGATGCATAGGAGAAAGGCAAAAAACGCAGGAATGTCTACAGGCGGAGTGTGGTGGTATATATAGAATTCAATATATTTGAAGTCATCCGAAGTTTAAATTTGTTCAATTATTGATACTCCAGAAGTATGCGTACCAGCTTAGGGTTTAGTTATAATCTTATTCCAATTTTTATTGTTGTTGTTCTATTACGAGCTCGGGGACTGTCAGTGATAGCCAAGTGAATACTCCGCTGCCCAGAGATTCCCTTCTAAATAAACAAATTGATGTAAAATAAACGAACAAAATCAGTTACCTCCATATTGGTACTCGTACTTCAAGAGCTGAATTTTATATATAACGTGGTGTTTTATTTATTCTCTTTGGTAACGCATCGTACATATATTTTGACCCTAAGATATTGGACATAGATATAATATTCTATGCATTATTGCTAATCCCGGTGCTGTGTCCCATGTGGTTATAATGTTGTTATTGTGATTGTTAGGCCAAAGTAAATATTATGGATTTAATTGCTTTCAAATCAATTTCAAAATTTTATAAGTCACAGATGTGGATGTCTTTTAGATAATAATGTTATTATAAATTTTCCAGTAATACTGGTATTTCCTTTTATTTTGTAAACTTGTCGTTTTCCTATTATTCTTCCTATTATTAATCGTTTGTTCCAATAAAATGTCAGGTTGGACTGAGTTTAATGAATGGTCTGAATGCTCTAAAACATGTGGAGCTGGAAGACGTGTCAGAAAAAGGGAATGTATGAATGGAAAACTTGGAGATAGAGATTGTCCACATCCATTAGCATTTAAATATCAAGTAAGTCTTGGATGATTATGTACATCTACAATTTATTAGGAAAAAATATTTGCGAAGGTAAACATTAGCTTACAAAAGTGTGTAATATTTTTAACTCATGAATGCAAATTGTCTTGGTTATATGCACTTTAGCAGGGGTGGGCACGGTTAGACTCGCGGGTCATGTAAGTGTGACGTGAAAGTAAAATTTTATGAACAATATTTACAGTGTTACAAAAGCAAAAGGGTAAAACATTGAGTCTCGTGCCCAAACTAACTTTAATCTCAATCTCAACAAATTCCTTGAGCTATTTTGTAGTTGAAACATCAACATTTAATTTGATTGTGGCAGCATCAGGCAGGCCAGATTGAACTACCCAACGGGCCGGATTTCGCCCGCGGGTCGTAGTTTGGCCATGTCTGTTCTTTAGACTCAATCTAGTTGGATATAAAAAGCTCTAATGTTTTTTATAAATTTTCAAATATTAATATATCTATAAAATAACTAAGGAACATTACAATAATATTAGGATAAACTAAATTGATTAACTGCCCGCCAGGACTGCAATAATAAAAAGTGTCCAGTTTTCGCTGAATGGTCACCTTGGGGAGAATGTAGCCAAACGTGCGGCGCAGGAGTGTCAAAAGCAATTAGAACTTGTAATCATGGAAAAATTGGGGACGAAGGATGTATTGGAGAAACAGAGAGAACTATGGAATGTCTTGAGACAGAATGCGCAAGTATTTAATATTTTCAATTTGTAAAGTCTTTGAACGTTGAACCATTTATCATTGATTTAGTTATCATAGTACTTATTATTGCTATATAGCCTAATTATTGCTCACAGATATTCGGCACAGATATATATTTTTAAATTATCTTATCTAACTACCGCGATTTCTTATGCAGTTTTTGTGTAATTTGTATTGTTAGTTCAAAATAATGCTTATAGATTTGATTGAAACGCATTTAAACAATTTCACACGCCGCATATGTAAATAAATTCAGAATGATATTTTCATAAATTTTTCAAGGATGCTGGAGAGTAATCTGTCCTTATTTTGTTGAATTGAAAAATCTAAGTGCAATTTGAGTCTGACAAATCTCGCCACAGATCGCCTAGAAATAGTGTAACGTTATGTTTTTATTTGTTTTGGTAATCTATTCATTATTTATCACTTGCTTATATAATATTCCAGGTTGGGGTGAATACAATGAATGGTCTGAATGCTCCCTCACATGTGGAAGGGGAAGGCGGGTAAGAAGCAGGGAATGTACAAATGGAGAAATTGGAGATGCAGGTTGTCCGCCTGATCGAGAGAATGAGTTGGGAGTAAGCAGCAATACTTTTATTCATATTAGTGAAATACGTTTTCAATTTGTATTACATTGTATTGGAATTTTGAAATTCTACGCTCGAACTCTCAGTAACGGTATAGAACAATTTAGAATGAGCTTTGAAGTCATTTTGTTACTCCAGTAGTATGTGTACCAGGTTAGGGTTAGGCCATAATTTTATTTCAATTTACCTTATTTTAGATTTATAACGAGTTTGTGAACTGTCTGAGTTACCAAATTGAATATACACCCGCCAATAGGTTTCAGTTCGTTAACACAAATTGAGGTGAAGTTGGCGAACAAAAATAGTTATCTCTTTATCGGTACACAGATTTTTGGAGCGCCGCAATTTTATCTTTTCTTACTAACATTGTCTCCTTTAAAGGAATGCAATAAACAAAATTGTCCTACTTTCACTGAATGGTCTCCATGGGGTGAATGCAGTCAATTATGTGGGAAAGGCGAACAAAAAGCGATACGAATATGTAATCATGGACAGATGGGTGACGATGGATGCATTGGACCGACAGAAAAAACTCGAGATTGTTTAATAAAAGATTGCGAATGTGAGTCAAAACATTGATTTGTTGTTGTACGACACTGTCACACATTTTTCCCTGTAACACTTTTTCTCACAAATATCTTCTACCGACAAGCAGTTTGCAATGGTCATTGTTGAAAATAGTTTAATTATCAATTATCATTACCGTAAACTTACTATGTGGAAAATTCGTTCGTCACATTTAACCAGGGTTTTCAAAAGGGGACGAATTTACTACATGGGGGTAAATTTCCCAAATTAATTTGCTCTGGGAGTGAATTTTACTTGAGTATAAATATAATTTTTGGTGCATGCTTTTAGCTGTAGTTATGAACTCAACGAAATCAATTTAGGACATATACACCCACAATTCTATATTAAAATCCCATCTTCCAAAGTCCTTGTCACACCTTGATTCATAATAGACATCTGTGGAAGAGAAAATATATTAAAATTAATTCCAAATTCACTATCAAAATTTGTAAATGTGTAATTGAGAGAATAAAGATGAAAAATTTCAACGTGACAGAATCAAATTTTTGGTACGTTTAATGAATTATTACTCTACTGATTACAAAATATTTATTGTGTAAGATTATTTTTCGAATGTAGAAAAATAAAATAGGTTATTGAAGCAATTGTACAAAGTTTGCTAAAAACAATTGAAATGTATTGAACAAAAATAGTTTATCTATTCAAGTATTAACTCTTGATTAACATTTTAATAACAGCCAATATGTGTCTCCAAGAATGGATGGAGGACAAGAAATGTTTGTCTATCGATAGAAATAGATGTAGTGACAACGAGGTTTCTCAGACATGTCCGAATACATGCTGTACGGGTAAGAACAAAAAGTTGCGGTACTTGAATATTTTCAGTACAATAAGTTGCAGTACTTGCGATATTTTAACCTACACTTGAATACTACTGTATTATTAGTATCCAAATATAGTTTGAATTGAAGACTATCTATTAGATTAAGACAAAATTAGCCAAAAATTGAAATTTGCAAACAGGGGTGTAAAAAAAGGAACATAAGGGCGATACTGATATCGTTCTACTTCCGAGTGATAATTACTAATAGATTGTTTGAAATCAGGTCAGAATAAATTTCCCGAGCACATCACTACGTTGTTAAAATGTTTTTTTTAATACAATCGATACTTCTGAATTGGACTACATATCAAATTATTTTTTATAAAGTAAATAATTTTAGTTTCGGGTGTAGTGGAATGGATTTGATTTACTGGTATGATTGTCAAAATACTTTTGAATTATATATATGCATCATGCTCAAGTTATTCTAAACTTTTGTACTCTTTTTTCCAGTTCTAGATTTCATACCATGCATTGATGATCCTAAATATTTGGACTACTGCAACTATTATAGGAGTTTATGTACTGATTCATCACAATCGTCTATTATGTTAGCTTATTGTAAGAAAACTTGTGGATATTGCAGCTTTGAATCGGACAAGAAATGAAAAAATGAAGATATGCGACTCAATATTAAAATTGTACTGATTTAAAAAAACTATACTAAATTTCTGATTTGAAATTGCTTGTAATTGAATAAAAATTAAACTCTTAGATCAGACACTTTGTTCATTCATTTTCTGTGAATATGTGCAAATAATAAAATAAAATAGTATGAAAATAAGTAAGTTCCGAAACCGTTTCGAAAATGTTTTTTGAGCAACGTTTGGATTAGCCTGCTTGACTTATTTTAAACAATCTTTTTATGGTAATTTCGTTTATACATCGAGGAAATGCCATATATTTTAGGCAGAGAAAGGACTTTTTTTTCTTGCTGAGTTACTACCATAATTTATCACAATTATTGAACAGCATAATTGAATAGTAATAGTAACGAAGTGTGTCTAATAATTGAGAGAAGGCCAAAACTTTGCGGTTTCATACGGCCAACTCGGTATTGTGTAAATATTAAACTCGCAGGCAATCTATGCTTATATAATTTGTTTCACATTAGTCGAAGTAGATGATATTTAGCATATATGGGCAGAAAATTGCATCGATTTACCGAAATACAACTGACCTAAGCAATTTGAACTGAAATTTGTCTCAAAAACTTCAAATTTGAATAACAAATCCAGTTCATTTCACACCGCTGTCGGTAAGGCAGTTAATCGGCAATAAGCACCAAATGTTATCGAAAGGATGCCGGACTGGTTCGGCGTAATGTCATATGATGGTGCAATATTTGTAAAAAAAAAAAAATTACAAAAGAAACCGGGTTTTCGCGGGTGATCGCCACATCTCGAGTAGTCGATCGCGTCTGATGTTGGGTGAATTTAAGAACATACCCCTAAATATTGATTTGAACCAGTTTCATGCAGCGCCTATTTTTTGAAGCATGAATAATACAGTATTGTAAACTATATAAGCAAAATATGATATACACTTACAGTATTTGAGTTTAGTAAAGTTACATTAAGCATACCACTACGTAACAAACGATTTCATTAAGAATGAGCACACCGGGTCGAGCTTTTTGGCAGCGGTAGAATTTTTGTATGTATGTGTGTAGTTATCTGCATATTCAATTCCCCATTCATTTACGGGTATGACCTTACTGGACACGTAGTGGACATAACGATCGTTTCAAAATTTTGTTGTTAATGTTAATATTATTTGTCTCCATCAACACGTTTTGAAGAAATCGCTTTTCTCTTCGAATACTTGACCAATTGCTATGAAATTTTCAGCGGTTAAAGATAAAAATTTTCTCCAGAAGGCTATTACTTTTTTTTGTTGCTATGACGTCATCAAAATTATGTGACTCCACGTGTACATGTATTTGAGCATAGCTCTCTTGTTACCGATCAATCGATCGCGAGCAACATTGAAGATTCTATTCGATCGCGTTCGAAAGCAGGTATGCCATCTCTGATATAAAGAGACACGATTTATACATAAACATTGCGTTCAATATTAAGAATCTTACCGCAAAATATTTCACTTTCTGTATTTAATTTCAAAGTATACAATTCTCTGTCTAAGCTATCGACATCACAATAACTGACAAATATTGTAATGATGATAATGTCTTCCAGACATGCAATGACGTTGTTTGGAAGTAGAATTAATGCACTACAAATTTATATGACAATAGAGTTGTGATATAAATATAAATTCAGAGGGCCATTTCTTCCCAGAACGGGTAAAATTACCTTAAAATCCTAAAAGCACATTTCAATATTTACTAACTCAATAATATAATATAATTGCCAATATAATTTTGCTACCTGGATAAAAATATTAGCTAATGCAGTATGCTGTATATGTTGCGTTGTGTAGCTAGGTTTTGAATATAAAAATCGATTGTTACCCACTGCAAGTAAAGAAAAGTAAGGTATCGTTTGTAGGAATAGGAGGCGCATTTTGCTCTAAATCTGCATATTATGCCGCATGCAAATTTAATCGTGAATGAAATCGTGGGATGTAGTAATTTTTGGAGTAATTTTGGGAATATATAAAAAATATAATATAATTTAAAGTATTTGTATTCTTCGAAAATATATTTTATTGTCATTAATGTATGCAAAATAACTAAATTAGCTTCTTTCTAATTGAACGTTATGTTGACAATTACAAACATAATTATTCTTTGATTAGTAGATTTTACTCATGCATTTATATTTCGGCTGCACGTAACTATGGACAATGTTATTAGTATCTTGGTTCTTGTTATTATGAAGGTGAAAAAGAACATTTTCTTTTTGACATGGTTATTTGATGTATGGATCGAGTTTGACATATTGCTTCCTATATTTTTTACGGATATATTCATAAAATCCATAAACAATGTAAGCTTTATTGCAGGAAGTAATTGGCGTTGATTAATCGTATCAAATAAGTTTGCATACTATTTTGTAAATCATAGCTTGCTTTCAGTGTTGAAAGAAGCGCTAGAGTTAATAACCGATTAACTAGTATTTTAAATAGGTTTTTATAAATTGGAAAAATAATATAAGAATAATTTTCATAACTTCAGAACATGAATTTATTTCTTTATAGACCTCATTAAACAATTTAGTTGCACTTCATGACCCTCGCTAGTACCCTTGACCTTTTTTCCACACATATCCCACAGGTATCCCAGCTGTTAAAAACGTTTAGCACTTGTATAACACTTGTCTCCCTTTGCTGACATTTTTCTAACCTGTTCTACTCTTCTGATTTGTATATATATATATATTGTGGAACAAATTTCAAAAGTGAGCCGATGAAAATAATACTTTGACAGATGTTCGGAGTATTCATACACAATTAGATTTGTATAATTCCAAAAAGTAAGAAAGATACGATAAAATGTGCAACGTGTGGGAAAAGTATGGAACAAAAAGAACAGATGTGGCGCAAGTGGGACACAAAATAATCTATTATCATATCTGATAAAATTCCAAATAAAAGCGCACTGCTTTGATAGCAAATTAAATTGATTTCATTCATTTTAAAATTACTGATCCAAAATTCGAGCTTCTTTCAGTATTCTAATTCTGCAGTGTATTTGTTGGCTGGTGCGTTTTACCAGAAAATCAGTTTTAGCTATATCACCTTCAATCGCGCTGCATTTGTAAACAATTCAATTTTTTTTTCATCTTTTCACGGTATTTTTGTTCTTATTCGAGGGAAAAATAAAAATATCTTTTTTTATATTGAGCGTTACAACAGTCACTAATATGCACGGGTATGTTCACACTGTTGCTCTGAAAAAGGCTCTGGAGAATCAGTCAATGATATGTAGAAATTTACTATGTCCACATTTTTGCTCCGAAAAATGCTCGAAACAATAATGTATATATGTATATATAATATGTGGACTGTTTTAAATCTCCTCATTTCGTCAAAAAGCAAAACCAATGGTCTCCAGAATGGAATAAAAATCGATAATATATTCTATAGAATCTGATTTGAGTGATATCAGAGCTAACTATGTTAATTTTAAACTTAAACTTATATTATATAAACATGTATATATATAATATACCGTATATGTATATGTATTTCTGGTTAATATTTTTAAATTTACAATTTGATAAATATCTGCAATTACACAAACACAATTAAGTTATCACCAATCCAGACCAGAGTATCAAGACAAAATGGCAAATGAGGAAATTTGGAAAATGAAATAAATAAAAAAAAATATTAAAATGAATTATGAAGAGAAAGCTGTTTATAGATTGTTTTCCAATCAAAATTGTAAGCTATGTTAACCGAGTATTTGAATAAAGAGTGGGAAATGTTCAAAAATCACAATTATTTATTTTTCTTATTTTCTTTAAATAATTTCCCCAAAGTTTCTCTCTGAGGTTGAAGCCAACAAGATCAAAAATTTAATTCCAATTTTCTTATTGAACAAACCATTATAATAATATAATTCACAACTAAACTACCCAAACCTAATCGGGACTTTAGGTGGAAAAGGAATAAAAAAGAAGATAGAATTTTGTTGGAAAAAATCATAAAATGATGTATTTTGAGTCATTGAGAAGGCATAAAAGTTTAATCATCAAGAATAATTTAGTATCGATAATCATATACACAACTGTCCAGCGATTTGAATCTCTCTTCAGAAAATGCTTCAAATTATCAAGAAATAACGTTAAAATTATTAAAATTTAGAAATAGCCTTCTGAGATCATAATAAGTTGAGTGATAATTTTTTAATTGGTAATTCATGATTGACCAGACAGATTGATCCATCAGTATCAAAAGAGGTGATATATTGCAAGTCTGTGGTACGTTTAAGAAAAACGAAACTTTTCGAACCTTCTTTTATTCCGTAATATACGAATATTTACAGCACAGCTGCAAGTTCATTAGACATTGTAAGTTTCGTATGCTGCTTCCACTTGTGTTTGAACTATTGTTGTGGGTAAAGGTTGTAAGTACCCATCAGTTACTTGCAGCACATTTGTTTATTGTGTTTGAAGAGCTGTGTTGTTGCATGCAGTTGAATTCTATGATTATTCAAAAAAAAAATTGAATTAATAACTTCAAAAACAATATGGTTCAAATTTAAAATATTGGTAGTGATAAAAAATCAGCTTAATAAAACTTGAGATATGAAATGAATAAAATATTCCAATTTCATCCATTGATTAGGATTCGTATAAGCAAACATTCTAAAATAGCTTAATGATGCTAAAAATACTAAACCATATAACAAAATGTATTACAAAACTTTGATGGATAGAATAGAGACCTAGTGGCTCTTCTTATTTATCTATTTTTAGAGTTCTAAAGCATTAAAATATATCACATCTCTGGTAAAAACTATTCAATAATTATGAAAGTTAACAAACAAGATTGTGACATTTCTTCAGCTTAAAATTACTACAAATGGAAGTAAAAATAAAAAAGGAGCTCACGGTGATATGATTTTGCATACGATTGTAGTAATGACTTGGTTGACAATAATAACCATTTCAATTTTAAATTGAGGATTCTTAGTACTGTACCTCTTTTCTGAATAGTATCGTAATTATGTTTCTTTTCTTATGCCCTTTTTTTCATATTTTTCATATTGTTGTTCATTTTGCATATAATCCCGATACAAATTATCAGGAAGATCGCAGGGATAAGAAAACCAATCAAAAAACTGACGATGTTGAATTCGAACAAAATTTTTTTCCAAAAAAATCATT